CTAATACAGGAATCACACCTTGCACCTCTCCCTCCTCCTCTTCCTTCTTTCTCCTCATCCTCCTTTTTCCTCCTAGTTCTCCTCCTCTTTCTGCTCCTCTTTCCTCTTCCTCCTCCTCATCCTCTTTTCCTCCTAGTCCTACTCCTCCTCTCCCTCTTCCTCACCCTCACCCAACCACACACACACACACACACACACACACTAACTCACCCTATGGAATTCTTCACTATATTTAACTCACTCAAGGAGTCACTCAACCACGGGGAGACCCGACTAGGTGGTAAATCATATAGCCTCTGTCTTCACTATAATCCCATGACCACTAATTATAGTTATTACTACTCATCATTTGGTCCTAGAAAGCTATAATATCTCTCAAACACCTGCAGATCTTAACCCTGCACGGTGTCTCGGAAAAATGTAAACATACCATTTTTATCATTTCTCCTCGTATATATCGCGTTGATGTCTCTATTATTACAGCTGTTTTGTTTTCATTACTTGTGGGAGACTTTCAACATCAAGATCTCAAACATCATGTGAGGATAATGTTAATGTTTTAAGAGTGATGTTTATACACATCTCTATGGCAAAATGTTAAGTGGTGTGTGTGTGTGTTTGTTTGTTTTTTTTAGATTTCTAGTCAGTTTTTGTTTATGGTGATAAGGGTAGAGTATAGATAAACACTTACACGGTCATACAAGCTAAAAGAAGCGACGTGTAAAGAGGTTTTAGTTGTGTCTTGGTTGGGTTTTCGTTGGTCTTTGTTGGTCATTGTTTTGATGAGTCTTGGTTGGTTGTTTGGTTGGTTTTGGTTGGTTTTGGTTGGTTGGTTGTTTGGTTGGTCATAGTTAGCCTAGGTTACTCATGGTCACCTTTTGTCTTTAGGTTGATTTTGGTTGGGTATTGGTTAGCCTTGGTTGGTCTCGGGTGGCCCACCAGGGGAGTGTTTGGGCCCCCAGGAAGCGGAAGTGTTTCATTAGTTTTGGCGAAAGTTTAAAGTTATTATGACACCAGAAGTGAAGAGTGGGGGAGAGAGGGAGGGAGAGAGGGAGAGAGGGAGGGAGAGAAGGGGGAACAGTGTCAAAGTACTCATCATACAGACAGACGAGGCGTGACACACACACACACACACACACACACACACACACAATGATGTCTTGAATGTGTTTGTTATAAGTAATGAATTTTTAACAAATACTTTGCTAACCCATACTGTCATACCAAGTGTATATATAGATAAGTATGTGGCGACCTGTGGTATAATGGTCAGCATGCTCGCCTCGCAAGTGAACAGACCCGGGTTCGATCCCCGGGCAGGGTGAAACTATGGGCAAGTTTCTTTACGCCATTTGCCTTTGTCTACCCAGCAGTAATTGGGGAACTGGATGTTAATAGATTTGTGGATCGTGTTCCGGGGTAATGCTTAGCCAGTGCAGTCGGCGAGTTGTCCGGTCTTCTCGGACTATTCCTTGACACTGAGTCATGTAGCTCGTTAACTTAGCGTGTGGTTGTTGTGTTGGCGACAGCTTCTACACCTTAAACAAATTCACGCCTAGGTGGCCCTTGGGCCGGCCATCCTCGTTACACGAGGGGCAACCATTATGTATGTATGTATGTTAAAGAACCCATGAAAGAACTAGAAGACATACGAGAGATATTTAGGTTCACCGTGACAACTTAATACCACAATGGCTGAACCAATGAAACCGTGAACCGTGAACCGTGAAGCTGTATGTTAACTCAGATGTCTTCCTTAACTGTAACACAAACAACAATTACCAAGTGTCAATGGTGTTGTAATAGTCCCACTTCACGCCACGCTGACGAGACTAACAGGGGGGGGGGGGTGGAAGAAGAGGACAGGGATGAGGAAGAGGAGGACTAGGAAGAGAAGGAGCAAGAGGAAGAGAAGGAGGAGGCCCACCCTGCACTCACCCCATACCTGGTGGCCAAGGGAGAACACAGGGTAGGAGGGAGGGAGAGAAGGAAGGAGGGAGAGAAGGTAGGAAGGAGGGAGAGAAGGAAAGAGAGAGGGAGGGAGACACGGGGAAGGAGGGGGACAAGGAGGAAATGATGGAGAGAAAGAAAGTGTAAAGGAGAGGAAGAGGGAGGGAGGGAGGGAGGGAGGGAAGGGTAGACATGGGTGAATCGTGTTCTGCTTGATGGAAGACAAAGATTGGCCAGTTCCAGCCAGTTGTGGTGTGTGTGTGACACCAACGAGTGTATTATCCTCAAATCACGCAATTTTAGAGAGAGAGAGAGAGAGAGAGAGAGAGAGGGAGAGAGAGGGACGTGTCAGTGCTAATTTATGTTCAGGTGAGAGACAGGCGGCTGTAAATTACCTGTAAATGAGTGTAAATAAGGGAGGACACTGAGGCCTTTTATTACCGAGATAATGAGAGGTAATCCTTTGTTGTAGCTTGTGTTTACCTTCTCTCCTCCCCCTCTCCCTTTCCCTCACCCCTTCCCTCTCACCTCCCCTCCCTCACTTCTCCTCCCTTCACTTCCCTCCCTCCCTCTTACCTCCTGTCTCCTTCACCCCCCCACCCCCGTGGTAGAAGCCTGCGGGGTCATTGCTCACAGGTATCCACGCAGGTAACATAAAGCTGGCAGGTGTTCTGTTGTTTACCTGTGTGTGTTGTGCCTGCTCTTGTTCAGAAGAGAGAGAGAGAGAGAGAGAGAGAGAGAGTGTGTGTGTGTGTGTGTATGTCTGTTAATCTCTCTCACTACTGTCTTACCTACTTTCTCTTGCCTCATTACTTTCCACCCTACTCTTCTATCCTCACTACTATCACTTTCTCCTCACTACTACCCTCTCTCTCTATCCTCACTACTGCCCAATCAACTCTCTCTTCACTACTGTCCTACCTACTTTCTCTCCCCTCATTACTTTCCACCCTACTCTTATCCTCACTACTATCACTTTCTCCTCACTACTACCCCTCTCTCTCTATCCTCACTACTGCCCAATCAACTCTCTCTTCACTACTGTCCTACCTACTTTCTCTCCCCTCATTTCCACCCTACTCTTATCCTCACTACTATCACTTTCTCCTCACTACTACCCCTCTCTCTCTATCCTCACTACTGTCCAAACTACTTTATCTTCTCTACTTCCCTCCCTAGTTTTCACCCTCACTACTGTCTGATCAAAATATAAACACCGGGTAAAAGTAATATCAGTGTTCCAATCTGTTTACATTACCAAGAGGTGATATTATGTCGCTTATGTCATCACACTGGTAATATATCTACAATATTTAATCAGTTCCACCGTTTCTACCTTATTTAAAACATTACTAATTATGTCGGATTCAATAAAAGGTAATAAAATACCTGTGAGTTTGTTAGTGAAGAGGGAGAGGAATAGGCGTTTGAGGAGAGGAGGGGGTGAGGTAATCAATGAAGCACCTGGGATAAAATTCCCTAAATATAATGATAGTAGGGAATACAAGACCTCCCAGGGGTACGTATCTCTCTATCATGCCGTGTTGAGGTGGTATTTACCTCCTGATACCTGCCATGTGTTTTCCTGTGTTGGTAACATTTGTTTTTAGACGATGGAGGAAATGGCGCTCCGTCTTCCTTTCGAGAACTTGGGGGAGAAATTATAAGTCCTTTATAAACTACGTCTCATTTTACCCCATGTAAGAGAAGGGGTGGTTAGGTATTACGTGGATAATAAGAAATGTATATTGTCGTTGTTCGAACTTTTGGAGAAATATCAATAACGAAATGAGTTGTTAGATAACGAAAATGATGAAGGGGATGAGTCTCCCAATAATAGAGAGCCTACGCCTGAGCCTAGCCCTGAGCCTGAATTTGAGTAGGGTTCTGACCCTTAACCTGTGCCCATGCGTGAGCCTGTGACTGAGGAGGAGATTCGAGCGAGGTTGATAGACCTTAAAAATCGCGACCCGGATCAAGTTCTCACCAAAGAGGAAAGAAAAGAGAGGAGAAAAGAGATTCGACGACTATTAATAAAATTCAATAATGTGATAAGTCCTGAGAGCCGAGGTATAGTGCACACCATCATACAAGACACGCGGGAAGTATTACTATACTGTATGAATAAGTATGCGGGAGAACGTCATAAGTACTCGATTGCAGGTTCACCTTCGTCAGGAAACATCAAAATAGATTATTATAGTTTCCTCTACACGGATCTTTGGGTGCCATAGACAGCAACTTTTGACGGGGAATCTCTCCCACGGTATCTGCTGAAGTTCTTGAAAGATCTTAAGCCAAATAAACCCGTCAATAAGATGTTTATCCCAAAGATAACGCTGAGTGATACGATAATGCTGGAGGTGATGCTCAGGAAGACTAACCAAGAGTTCTGCCTGGAGACCGACACTACCATGAGGGGCAGAGAGAAACTGACGTTAATAGCAGCGACATTATCACTAGCAGCAAGAGGGCAGACCATGTTGGTGAAGCGTTTCCGGAAGGATGACAAACCTTGCAGGTACCGCATTATAGACGAGGAGATAGTGAATCATCTTATCGACTGTATCATTCTGCTGAACCTTCCTGACCTCGATGCAACCACTGGTGTGCCTCTATAGCAAATCAGAATTTCTATGGTGAGGAGTTACTAAATCATCATATCGTGTGGTCAGGTGAGAAGGGTCATACAACACCTGGTGACACAAGACACCGGAATAGTTTATATTAAACACTATGATTCAGTCACCTGGAAAATCCCTGAGTGGTTGATGACGAAGGAGAAATTCTTGTTGCACCTACAGCACCTGGTCGAGATCGGGCAACCTGGGGGAGGTCTGTTAGGCCACCTCCACAAGCTCGCGTTTAGCTGTGGATTTACATTGAGTTCCACCGAATAAATAGTTATAAACGAATTAAGCTGTACAGCCAGCAGTGAGGAAGAGAAAAAACTACAAAAGACACGACTTAGAACCAAGAGAAAAATTCTGTTCAGGACCAAGAAACAAGACAAAGGTTACGTGAGGGATGAGAGTGGCGATTAGAAAGATATGTATGATGAGAAGTGTACTCTTGAGGGCGTGAGCAGCGAGTCTGAAGACGGAAGTACTGATCTGGATATTAGTAAACAGCATCACTATACAGCATACATGTATTGTGATGCAAGTGTGGAAAAACTCTTCGGAATGATTCAAGAGTTAGAAAGATAAATTTATGAGGAGGGACAAGGGGAGTGGCTCGCTGTTGATAACCATGAGATTTTTGTTTACCTGGTACCAAGTCTGCTCTTACCTGTAGATGCAAACTTGAACAAATCCTTCTAAGACAGTTTCAGGGCTCAATTTGCCTCCGAACTGCATAATATATTAGTTATGGGAGACGAAATGTGTCCGCCGGTCCTGGTGGAGTAAGATTATCCTTTAACTCCTTATCAAGTTGGTCTGTGGAGTAACCTTGGTCCTGCACTGGCCAGAAAAAGTACCAACATCTGGGCCAGCGGCTACCGGAATAAGATACAGCCAAACAAGCGGAAAAACGTTGACGTCAATGAAAAAAAATCGAAAAAGAAGGAAAATTATGACACCTCGAATTTGACAACAATGGCTGATGAGCCAAAAGGTGAATATTTCTCAAACAAAGAAACTGAGGCACGAGTCACGAATGAAGAAAATGTTTAAGAATCAATCTCGGCCAACAAATGTGACTCCTCAGAGTGGGTGTTTGACTCACCGAAAGAAAACCTAATAGTGAGTCCTATCTCAGAACACCCGACTTCCTCAGAAGAGGAAAGTGATTCTGAGTTAACGTCAGGGAGCCGCGGCCCCACAGATGAGGAAAATTTGGGTATGGGCACAAGAATAAAACTCCCAACTCCCAAATATGATTCTGATTCAGCGTCAATCTGCGAAAGTTCACCAGATCACGACAGTGAATCTGAATCAACGTCAACCAGCCAAAAATCGTCAAATCACGAGAATGAATCTGATTCACCTTCAAGCGGCGAATTTTCATCAAATCAGGAAAGTGATTCTGATTCATCATTAGTCGACCAACTTTCATCAGATCACGAAAGTGATGAAAATTCACCAAGAGGTCACGAACGACCAGCAGGTCACAAACGATCCCGGAGAGACGAAAGTGATGAAGATTCACCAAGAGGTCACAAACGTTCAAGAGGCCACGAAAGTTCCACAGGTGATGACAGTAACGGGGGTTCAGAGTGAGGCCACAGGCTGCCTGGCCTCCACAGGTGATGACAGTACGTCCTCCTTCTAGAAGTGTTGCAGCAATGCCTGAGGATGCCACAGCAAGAGCAATTTTCCCTTGATGACGTATTGTGGCCAACAGAAGGTTGATCAGGAATGTTTTTCCTGTCCCGCCAGGTGAATCGAGAAAGATCATACCTCCCTGCTCCGCTTGTATCGCTTGCAAGATCTGTTCATAAGCATTTGCTTGATCAGGCACCAGGTGAGGCTCATTTTCTTCAAGGAAATTCACCAGAACTTCAACTGAGTAGTCTGTCTCTCTGAGCAACTCCCTGTTTGCAACTACTGTTCAGTCCCCAAAACGTCTTCTTCCACCAATAGTTCATTAACGGTGTATGTAAGTTCCACTACAACGGTACAGCAAGGTCTATTTTTTTAGCATTAAAATGTTATTAGTTTATTGTCTAATCATCATTACATATAACACCATCCATCATCACTACATATAACACCATCCATCATCACTACATATAACACCACTCATCATCACTACATATAACACCATCCATCATCACTACATATAACACCATCCATCATCACTACATATAACACCATCCATCATCACTACATATAACACCATCCATCATCACTACATATAACACCATCCATCATCACTACATATAACACCATCCATCATCACTACATATAACACCATCCATCATCACTACATATAACACCATCCATCACCACTACATATAACACCATCCATCCATCACTACATATAACACCATACATCATCACTACATATAACACCATCCATCATCACTACATATAACACCATCCATCATCACTACATATAACACCATCCATCACCACTACATATAACACCACCCATCATCACTACATATAACACCATCCATCATCACTACATATAACACCATCCATCATCACTACATATAACACCATCCATCATCACTACATATAACACCATCCATCATCACTACATATAACACCATCCATCATCACTACATATAACACCATCCATCGTCACTACATATAACACCATCCATCGTCACTACATATAACACCATCCATCATCACTACATATAACACCATCCATCATCACTACATATAACACCATCCATCACCACTACATATAACACCATCCATCATCACTACATATAACACCATCCATCATCACTACATATAACACCATCCATCATCACTACATATCACATACATCCATCCATCGTCACTACATATAACACCATCCATCATCACATATCATCATCAACATATATCACACCATCCATCATCCACTACATATAACACCATCCATCATCACTACATATAACACCATCCATCATCACTACATATAACACCATCCATCATCACTACATATAACACCATCCATCATCACTACATATAACACCACTCATCATCACCACAGAGAGAGAGAGAGAGGTACAGTACAGTATAGACACAAACCATTTTCTTTATTTCAGGGTTGGGTCATTCTTCGCCCTGCCCTAAGTAGAGGGAAGGAAGGAAGAAGAGAGGGAAGGAGGGAGAGAAAGAAGGAGGGAGAGTAAGAAGGAGGGAGAGAGGGATAGGAGGGAGAGAAAGAAGGAGGGAGAGACGGATAGGAGGGAGAGAAAGAAGGAGGGAGAGACGGAAGGAAGGGAGGAAGGAAGGAAGGAAGGAAGGAAGGACTCGGGGATGCCTCCTTGTGAATAGGTATATATTTTTTTCTATACTTCCCCTGGTTGATGAAAGCAACGTGGTGCGGGACCTATCTATCTATCTATCTATCTATCTGTCTTTATCCACCCGTTAACGCACAAATTCTATATCCATAATGACTGCAAAGATTGACACACACACACACACACACACACACACACACACACACACAGCCATGACACCCTAGCCCATCATTCTACCTTTCCAACCATCAATCATTATGTTGGTTGGTGAAATATTCCACCGCCTGCCCGCCCGCCCGCCCGCCCGCCCGCCCGGCCCGCCCGCCCGCCGCTACAACACAAACCACTCGCCTATCTGTTTTTTTTTTACGCTTTATATAATTTTTTTTCTTTATCTATTGCGTTGCTTTTTTGTTGCTAATCAACCCTTGCTGAGGTACAATGGTGGGGTGAGGCCTCCTGCTCTCTCGCTCACTCACTCACTCTCTCTCTCTCTTTCAATCAGTCAGGGGTACCAACGTCTCTCTCTCTCTCTCTCTACAGGAACCAGCTATGATGGGAGATATTCTCTTAGTACTCAATCATCTCACAGGAGAGAGATATTAGGTTATTTCCTGTAATATATATTCCTTTAAGTTACTTTTATACGAAGAGGAGGAATAGGGGAAGGAAGTTATTTTGGTGTAATGATAAAAAGTTATTTGGCGTGAGAAGTGAGACGTAATGTGTGTGTGTGTGTGTGTGTGTGTGTGTTAGCGTTGGTAGGGGTGTGTTGATGGCGGGTAAGGAGGAGGGGGCAGATGGACAGTTTCAGATTGCGTTTTTGCAACTCTAGCGACGCCGCGGTGAAGGGTCTCGTGGGGTATTGAAATAGCCCAACGTGTGTGCCCCTATATCATCCTACCCCACCCCTACCCCACCCCCCCCTCCTCCTACCCCTCAACACTACCACCCTTCCCACGCCCTCTTGCACCCCTTAACCCACCCCCCCTCTTCCTTCCTTCCTTCCTCTCCCTCTACCCCCTTCCTTCCTTCTTAGGAGGCCTATACTGCCTCTCTATAGCCTGCTGATTTTCTCTCATGTTGCTGTTGACGACCTGTGCCCCCAGGAGGTGACGTGAAGGGTCTGTTGCCTGCTGGGGGAGGGAAGGTCTTTGGGGCAGGTCTTAGGTGGTGCAGGTCTTAGGTGGTGAAGGTCTTAGGTGGTGCAGGTCTTAGGTGGTGCAGGCTCCAGCTGGTGCAGGTCTTAGGTGGTGCAGGTCTTAGTGGTGCAGGTGGTGCAGGTCTTAGGTGGTGTCTTAGGTGGTGAAGGTCTTAGGTGGTGCAGGTCTTAGGTAGGCCAGAGAGAGAGAGAGAGAGAGGAACGGCTGGTGTGGAACTGGCAAAGAAAAAACGAAAAACAAAAACATCAATTTCTTTGTGATATTAAACTATATTATTGGAATATTATTAATTTGTGTTAATTATCATTGTTACTAATTACCATATATTGAAGTGTGAAAATGACACCGAGACCTTAGTTAATATACACGTCATCAATTGGCATTATCCAGTTCATTATACGGCTCTTTAACATTATCCCTGGCAGTCATTGTAGAGAGAGAGAGAGAGAGAGAGAGAGAGAGAGAGAGAGAGACGTTAAGCAGGTCACGAGTTCTAACAGGTCAAAAGTCAAGCAGGTCACAGAGGTCAAACAGGTCACACCAATACTCTTAATGAGAAGGGAAGTACCATACCTATAGTCTTATGTTAAGGGAAGTACCATACCTATAGTCATAATGTAAAGGGAAGTACCATACCTATAGTCTTATGTTAAGGGAAGTACCATACCTATAGTCTTATGTTAAGGGAAGTACCATTCCTATAGTCATAATGTAAAGGGAAGTACCATACCTATAGTCTTATGTTAAGGGAAGTACCATTCCTATAGTCATAATGTAAAGGGAAGTACCATACCTATAGTGTTATGCTAAGGGAAGTACCATACCTATAGTCTTATGCTAAGGGAAGTACCATACCTATAGTCATAATGTAAAGGAAAGTACCATACCTATAGTCTAATGTTAAGGGAAGTACCATACCTATAGTCTAATGTTAAGGGAAGTACCATACCTATAGTCATAATGTTAAGGAAAGTACCATACCTATAGTCTAATGTTAAGGGAAGTACCATACCTATAGTCTAATGCTAAGGGAAGTACCATACCTATAGTCTAATGTTAAGGAAAGTGCCATAACAAATCATTGGTCGATATATAGATAAAAAATAACCAAATTTTTAATATAGGAATAATACATCAGAGAACCCATATATATAATGTCTCCTGTGTTGTAGATAATGGATCAGCAAGTCACTAATTTCCTGTGTTGTGTTGTGTTGCTGTGTTCGTTCGTGTTGCTGTGTTCGTTCGTGTTGCTGTGTTCGTTCGTGTTGCTGTGTTCGTTTGTGTTGCTGTGTTCGTTCGTGTTGCTGTGTTCGTTCGTGTTGCTGTGTTCGTTTGTGTTGCTGTGTTCGTTCGTGTTGCTGTGTTCGTTTGTGTTGCTGTGTTCGTTTGTGTTGCTGTGTTCGTGTTGCTGTGTTCGTTTTTGTGGGTAATATAACAAAACAACATTAGATCACACAGCATAAATTGTTACCATATAAAAAAAATAACATCCGTGGACAGTAGAACTTTTGTTTACATGGCAATAATTTTTCATCACAGTACAGTTTTTTTTATCTGGTAATAATTCTTCATTTATTTTATTTAGTTTTTTTTAGTTTTTAATGGATTTATTTACTTATTAATTTATTGATATTTTTATTTATTATTTATTTAATTAGTTTTCATTTACTTATTTGCTTATTTTTTACGTATGTATTTGTATTCATTTTTAGTTAATATTTGTAATGTATATGTTTGTCTATTCATATGGGTGATAATTCATTTGTTTTCTAGTAAATATATTCCAGCAATGTATAGATTTTTTTGTTCATAATACACTTTATGTTATTCACTGAGTTTGAGTTTCTTCAGGTGATTACAGTGTTATTGTGACTCTGAATTTCTGGCTTAAATAAAATATGTGAGTTTTAATTTCTAAGGTTTTTCACAAATTTGGTATAGGTGGATTTGTTTATTTTATTTGTTTTAATAGGTGGTAATAACTAAGGACAAGTTGTTAGATTTTGAAAGGTTTTGTTGTTGTTTGTTTGTGAGGATTTTTGAGTTTTTGTTGTTTTTGTCCAGTTGGTTTGTTAGTGAGAGAGAGAATAATCAAGGGAGGTAGTTTTGCTTTTGTTGTTGAAGGTCGAGAGGTCGTTAACTCCTA